GATTGTGTTAGTTTCAAGTTTAGAAGCTCCAGCAACTTTCCCTGAATACGAATTCGCAACCTTCCGATTTACAACAGGTACCTACTTTACTGCTAGGTGAACAGGGACCAAGGGGGCTAGGAAGAGTGTCCAGACAACTTCCACCTGCCCGGGAATTGCAACAGGGGCCTAGAGTCACTTGGTAGCAAGGCAGGTGATTGGCTGTTGGACGGACACACGAAGAGAAACTACAGTTCTTTATTATTTAATCCATCATATTTATATACTAATATTGTAAGGGATTATAACTTTTCTGTGTTTATCTCTGATAATTTTCACACTTCATTAAATAAAAATTAGCTGTCAAACGTTCAGGTAATAGTATCATAAAACAACTCGACGTGATGAAGTTTAATGACGTTGAAATTTTATAATTATTGTTTATAATATTTTTGCGATGATGCGTTTCACATGATAATTTTTACTCAGATATCAACACAGAAAAGTCATAATCCCTTAGAATATAAATATGATGGATTAAATATTGAAGAACTGTAGCGGCTCTTCGCGTGTCCGTCCACCAGCCAATCAGCTGCCTTGCTGCAGACTGACCCGAGGCCACAAAGTCTGAGTGAACAGACTATAGGAACGTAATGGTGCTGTCCACTTACAGATTATATCGTGTTTGTCTACATAATTGTTCCCATATTAACATCAGTTATATTTTCGAGAAAAAAATTAAATAAATTGAAATAATTCGCATGACGCAATAAACCTTGGAGTTGTTGATATACACAGTAAAAAAAATTCTGTTTTCTCTGTTCTTGGTTTCCGGGTGAGATTTTGACATGGTCTCCACCGATTTACCTCATATTTGAAACACGCGCCTGTTGCTTTTGTGTCCATGTTATCCTCCAGGAAAGGTCAAGGATCAGGGCCCCTGCGTCAAAAGTGAAGGTGAACACTTGTTGATGACTGATGGAAGCTGTTAGTTTTGCCTTCCTTATGGACGACCAGTCAGTCAACTCTCTCCATCTGTTTAACTGACGTTCATAGTCAAGTCATCGTACTCAAGGGTTACCATAGTACTCAATAGGTTAAGTCATCGTACTCAAGGGTTACCATAGTACTCAATAGGTTAAGTCATCGTACTCAAGGGTTGCCATAGTACTCAATAGGTTAAGTCATCGTACTCAAGGGTTGCCATAGTACTCAATAGGTTAAGTCATCGTACTCAAGGGTTGCCATAGTACTCAATAGGTTAAGTCATCGTACTCAAGGGTTGCCATAGTACTCAATAGGGAGCCGAGATTCTTCAGCTGTCACTCAGGGTATCTCTTAACGGGAGCGTCTGGGTGGGGTAGTTCTCTTCCTGTATTTCACGCCTTTTACATCAGTTTTTCGGATTACATGAAGATTAAACACCCGAGCTTATTTCAACTTAATATTAACCAACCTAACGATAACTTAACCTAACCCCCCCCCCTTACAGGTAGCATTAGTGTTTAATAGTGAGGTGAAATAAGCCGGGGTGTTCAATCTTCAGTCTATTCCCTTTTTCTAGTATGACCTTGGGCTCGTTGCTTCATAATGATAATACAACCTGGATAAGGAGAAGAAAAAGGTTATAATCCAGACACACTGTATATGTCAGTCGTCGAGTGAGTGTCCTTGTTTATAGATACAAAAAGTTTATTTGTTTTCTTATTGTTTGTGTTGTTCGTTTACGGTTTTACTTATTGTGGTTGATGTTTGTATATATTTAGCAGTTTTGTGGAAATTATTATCCATTGTTATTTAGTAATATATGCCTAAGATCTTACTGTATTATACGAATCACCTGATAATTAATTAGACATTCCAGCTTGTTTGAATTAAGTTCGGTTAAGTTAAATTAGGTACAGTGTGGGTTAAGTTAGATTAGTTTAGCTTGTGTTTGATCATCAGATAATATAAGCTGGGATGCCTAATTTTCACCTGCTTTAATATTTTTGGCACTGCTATGAATTCTTCACAGCTTAAAAACTATAGACATTACCCTCCCGCTGTTGTTCATGAACAAAGGAGACATTATATTTTCCACCGTCCACCCGCCCGCCATAAATCCTGAGCACGAGGAGGAGGTCGCAAGTTCCAGCAATTTGTCACGTGTATGTCCTCTGAAGCCGCCTCATATTTCTCACCCGCGAATTCTTTCACTTCAACCTGTGATTTTTATTATTATTATTATTATTATTATTATTATTATTATTATTATTATTATTATTATTATTATTATTTTCATTTCCTAGTTGAGATACGTAGTCGTTAGGTAACGTCTTTTGAGAGCATTGATAGATGATATTAAGGCAAATATATATATGCAGGTGGTCATCAGAAGAGAGGAAGGTTTATGCGTTGTTGAGGATTCGATAAAGTGCAGTGTGGCTAGCGTGTATGAAGTGCATTGTGGGTAGTTCGTGTTATGACATGGGCAGAGTGCATGGTGTTAATTCTGCAGATGCCTTTTAAGGAACCTATTCGTGGGTATTCGACCAGTGCATTAAGAAGGGTGAGTCGTCTCTAGGTAACTGAGGAGGGTCTACAAAGCCCTCGAGAGGTAATCATCACACCCACGCCGCACGAATGCTGAGCACTGTCCTGGTGACACACACTCTCTCTCTCTCTCTCTCTCTCTCTCTCTCTCTCTCTCTCTCTCTCTCTCCACACATTTACCCCTTACCCACTGTTCCTCTTTCCTTCCTTCCGTCTCCCTCTCCTCCCGTCCTTTCCCTGTCACCATTCGTTCCCTGGGAGGACAATGCAACACGCCAGCAAACTTGTCCCGCGATTGTCTCCGTGAACGACTATCCCGCGCGGAAAATGTCGCCTTCTAAAACGTGTGTAAAACGACGATTGGGGTGTAAACAAGAACGAGAGAAGAAAAAGAAGATGTAGAATGAATAGAAGTGGATAATGGGAGGTTAGTTATAGTGGTTACTGCCTCTCTCTACATTAGGCTTCTCTATGCTATGGGTTATAGAGTTAAACTGGCTGCCATCCATGTTGTCATATACGTAGACAAGAGGTGTGTACAGTATAGGCCAGCGACGGGTCTGGTTGGCTGAGTAATGGGTTAGATCTTGTGACAAACTATGAGCATCAAAATATTATGATGATATATATTTTAAACTGATATATCATTGAGAGTCCAGCTTGCTGACATATATCTTGCTGGTTGACATGCGAATAATGTACCGTTCTACTGCGTATGTAAATAAATATAGCACGTGGAGTTATTAATTAATTATTTATACCATTTCTAAAAGTTACCAAAGAATCTAAAATCTATTCCATGCTTATTGAAAGAGGTATAATATTTACGTCCGCATGATGTTCTTTCCCCGTCCTAGTTAGCGAATCACCAATCAGATGCCAGTACATACCTGTTACCTGTGTACAGTACCTGGCAATAAAGCACTAGTGTACTGTAGGTCATGACTGAATGACATTGTCCTCACGTAGAAAATATTGTACTTTAGACCAGATACGTAAATATGTCCCTCTACTTCTGATACATAAATCTTCTTTGTATTTATATTCACGGATAAAAGAACTTGAATCTGAATTAATATGCGAATTTTACCTTTATAAGTATGACTGTTGTACCTCAATAAGTGTAACTTGTACCTCTGTAAGTGTGGCTTGTACCTCTTAGAGTGACTTGTACTTCTAAGTGTGACTATTGTATCGTTGTAAGTGTGAATGATGTACCTCTATAAGTGTGACTTTTACCTCAATAAGTGTGACTTGTACCTATATAAGTGTGACTGTTATACCTCTATAAGGGACTTGTACCATTATAAGTGTGACTTGCACTTTTATAAGTGACTTGTACCTGTATAAGTAACTGTTTTACCTTTATAAATGTGCCTGTTATATCTTTATAAGTGACTGTTTTACCTTTATAAGTGAAGTGACTGTTGTACCATTAAAAGTGTGACTGACTTTTACATACATAAATTGTGCTTGTCACTTTTACCTACAGCTGGCCGGTCTCTCTCACAGGTAATAAAGATTTCACACACACACCTGAACAATTAACTAGAGTGACAGAATTTTATTTTTGCGTCTGGAAGCTTAAGTTTAACTCTCTCTCTCTCTCTCTCTCTCTCTCTCTCTCTCTCTCTCTCTCTCTCTCTCTCTCTCTTCTTGTTTTAATTGTTTCCTCCTCCTCCCCACCAGTATGTTTTTCCCCAGGATAGCCTCCACCTCTGTCTAATCAAAGCTCTAACAAGCCCCAGTTCTTTTTTTTTCCAGTTTACAAGAGAACAGGAATTTAGTCATGCATTAACTTCCACGTAGCCAGTTTCAATAGGCCCCAGTGTATCATAACCATTGAGATTAGAGTACAGTGTTAATGGGCCCTACTCTTAATGTGTCATAATCCTTAGTACCGGTGACCTTTTGACCTGTAAATATTGTATGGTAGGTTTGGTCTATCTGTCTTGTTAGGTCAGGTAGAGTTTCGATGGGGTTAAATGAGGGTTAATTAGGCCATAGATTAGATTGTTTTAATAGAATTGTTTCTCTAGATGTGAAGTAAAATGTATATACGCTCCACAAGGCAGGATCCCGACTCGCCCTCTTTTTATCAGGACATTATTCCCCTCTTCTTGGTCTCTCTGCCGTGGTCATATCTCATTATCTCTCTGTCTCTCTACTCTTCCTCCAGATTGTATGAAAACAGACGCTCTATTCTCTCCACCATCTGTTTTATATGACGTGGATGATTATGACAGAAGAGGGTTGAAGGTTTTCCCCCGTCCGCATGTTGATTAAGTTTGGTTTAATGTAACAATACAGTTCGTCTTTAGTATTAAATGTGGACACTAGCTCACACATTAGTCTCCCTCACTAATTCTCTCCCTCAGTCGTTTTCTTCCTCTCCTCCATCCCCCATTCACTCCCTCCCTCCCTCCCTGATGGCTCCCAGTACAGGAAGTCTTTGAAAACAAATAACATTTCCCTGTACCCGACAGAGACCTGGAGATCCGGTACAGTGTGGCGGCCGAGACGAGAAACAACCTGGTGGCGGCGGGTCAGAACATCCACGGGGCACAACGCTACCTCGACAACGTCAACTTCCCCTACTGTGCTCCCGGCGAGGTTGACACTCTCAACAAAGTAAGTCAATGAGTGATGTTGCTTCCTCCCTCACGCACACACACACGCCCACGCCCACCAGGTTACATATTCCCACGCCCGTGTTATTTATAAATATTAAAATTAGGACCACAAGGTAGACCTCTTGGTTACTGTATCTTGTTGGGGTCGTAAGGTAGGCCGCTGCAGGTCCCCACGCCATGGTGTCTGATGGACTTAAGTACGTAACCCCCCTTCAAAGGTTGCCACGCCACGCACTCTCCCACGCCCACAGGAGTCCAAACACCTAAGAATTACTCAGCGGCCCCCACGTTAATGTTCCTCATGATCACACGTGTCTGGCTCATTCAGCAGGTGGTCACAATGTTATCCAAACCAATTATAGACTGTCATAGGTAGAGGTGTTGTTGCGTCTGAAATTAAGGGGAGGGGACTCCAATTTACAAAGCTTAATCAACCTACATCTTGGTCATGATGCGACTCACAAACTTCCACAAAGAAATCACCAGACGGAAGCTGTTTTAAATGCTTTTGTCAATTTATAAGTTTAGCTTCAAAGTTAAACCAAATTTCAAAAGTTATTTAGGAATTTCTATTAAATATTCTGGTTTGGTTTTCTCGAAAACACGCAGTTCTCTTTTTTGTCCAGTTTGATTAAGAAACTGAACTGAGTTATACTAGAGTCTGAGAACAGTTACTCCACAATCTTGCCTGTCGTCTTTATGGTTTAGTCTAAAACCGCTTCTACACCTCCAGCTACTGGGACATTCTACTGACGATTCTAAGGTTAATATTTTGTTTTATTATAAATTTGAATGTTTGTACACCCAGATAATGCAAAGCATATAATTGTATAACACTGTCTGTCTGACTGTCAGTCTGTTTATATCCGAACAGTAACTCAGTCCATATACTATGCAGTACCAGTATACAGAATACAGGACCATATAGGTATTCTTAGCCCTCGGGTAATAATAACCCATGACGATTTTCGGGGAAATGGGTCAGAGGTTGAGGACACTGTTGATAAAACCGGAATTTTGGTTTTCAAACCATAACTGGACTTTCCATGGACCAGATAACACGGCCTCCCCCTGGGGACCACAAGAGGCCGTATTATTGACGTTTGTAATACTTTTGTTTTGTTTTCACACTTGTCATTATCTTGTGTCACGGTTGCACTTGGTCTCTTAATCGTAATCTTTACAGAAACCGCTAGAATTTTACTGTTTATGTACACATTAAAAAAATTGTATTGGGTTGTTAGCTGTGTCTACGTCGACCAGACACGTCGAAGCATAAATCCTTACTGAAACATCTTGGAACGTGTTGGCACCTGTTGAAACATGAAGGTAAAATGTTTTGATCAATTGAACCGTGATGAAATACGCTGAAACTTGCTAACCCTCTCCCACATGTCATAGAAAAGATAAGCTGAATTTTTTTTGAGTGTAGCCTGGAATGGAATTCTAATTAACTGATGGAGTGACATTCCCTCCAACGACACATCTGGCAGCCATGATTCAAACTCCTGTGATATGTTGTGGATGGTAAATGCAGTGAATGGGTAGAAAATAATAGACATTTCATAATCTTCAATATACATGTTTGACATAACATACATACAAGAAAGCATATTAAAACGGACACAGGAGCTATGTGTATATATATATATATATATATATATATATATATATATATATATATATATATATATAAAGTTTCACAAATAGCTAGAATTAATGTATAAAACAAGGCACTTAGGAATATGTTCACTTTTCAAGGACCAAATGCTTACATTTACAAGATTCTTGGGTCATGTGCAGCAGCGTTCATCCTAGTCACAACTTGAGGGTACGAGCTTGTAAAGTAATGCTGTCAGCTGTTTCTCTCGCCAGATAAATGAGAGCCACTGGAGACAGCTCACATCCCCTGCTGAAAGTGGCTATAACTGTGAAATTACCTCCACCGGCTTCAGGCAACAACCCTCCATAATTCACTTTGCGCCAAAAATAAAAAACTCCATTGAGTTTATGGAAAGTTACTGAGCGGATACTGACTTTGTCTTAGAGGGACAAACAAACAAACAATGGTATCATTAGATCTCTCCCGAACCTTTTTTTTCAGTCAGGGGAATAAAAATAATATAAGTTATCAATATAGCCAAATAGATATCACTTAAGACCAGAACTATATATACTGTATATATATATCACTTACGAGTTAATTAATTATGGTATTTGATCTTGTAAGTAATGAGGTTGATTTTACTTAATAAATGATATTATAAGTTATATGTTCTTAATATATGTTGTGTACTGTGTGTCTACGTTGTCTTACTCTGTTATTTTTTACAGAAAACGTATTTGTTTTTGTTTTATTATTACTATTAGTATTACGTCCCTTCGTTTGTTTATAAATCAACTTATCTATTCACCCATCCGACATCCGACGATCATTCATCTTATCTATCTATCTATCTATCTATCTATCTATCTATCTATCTAACTATCTATCTATCTATTACCCTTCTTCCTTACGCAACACCTTACATTCCTCTCCTCCATTCCTGGGATTATTCTCTCCAGTGAATTTCTACCAATAACTTCAAAAGCCGTGTGTGTGTGTGTGTGTGGCACAGCGACAATACACGGCTGATATACACATCATACACCTATAATACATAGTTACATACACTGTACACACTCACTATAAAACATACACGCAGTATCCACAGAGTATACATGTATATAATCTGGAATCACGTGAATTATGCATAATTTACACACGTCTAGCGTTATGTATTACACAAGTTAACACAAGTAGGTAATGCTTACTTATAATTCTACTCATTATTTCTTTTTCATGCTAAAATCATCGTAGTTTCTAATTTTACCTTTTTCTCCAATTCTAGGTCACCACTAATACCTCATATCACTATTTCTGGGTCGCCTTTTATCTAATACTTAATATATGTCGTTTCTAATAACTACAGAACAACAGCATGGCAACATTTACACCTTAATGATGTACTGTACAAGGTTGAATTGTCTCATTATCAAAAACTTACTTTCATTAGTCAGCCTTAATCCCTCTCCCATCCTCCCCATGTGTTCTATACAATAAGGTGTACTATACTTAATTTGTGTTTTATTAATATTATTGAATAAAGTATTTATTAAAAAAGTCCAAAATTAATTATATTTTAAGAATAGTCTACCAGGCAACTAATCTTTAAAGAATTTATATAATGAAGAACACTAGAACATTTATATCTTGGGTCTACATATTATTAACTAGAGTCGCCGGTATTTACAAGCTAATGCATTTCATAAGACTTTTACCCAGGATATAAATATATAATAAGTCAATAAACAGATAAGATCTACTCGGATATGGGACACACTTACCGTAGTTCAAGGTAATATAGAATCAGTAAACAGTTCATAACACTAATTTTTGTTTTGCTGGAGATAATGAGTAAAGAATATAGTTCACCCAAAATCAGTCTAGAGGGAGACAATGTGTATGTATCGTGATGTATATTTTCAAAAAGCGTTTGTGGGGAAAATAATCCTAAACCGAGACAGATGATGAAGTAAGGTACAGGATAACATGGTAAGAGGGAACGTTTTTAAAGTAAGGTATAGGATAACACTGTAAGGGGGAACGTTTTTTTAAGTAAGATACAGGATAACACGGTAAGAGGGAACGTTTTTTAAGTAAGATACAGGATAACACGGTAAGAGGGAACGTTTTTTAAGTAAGGTACAGGATAACACGATAAGGGGGAACGTTTTTAAAGTAAGGTACAGGATAACACGGTAAGAGGGAACGTTTTTTAAGTAAGGTACAGGATAACACGGTAAAGGGGAACGTTTTTTATTATTTAAGATGTTGACCCACGAGAGTAAAAGTTTTGATAACATGGCTGAGTCTTTTTTGTTGTTGAACACCTGAGCAGCACGACGCCCACACCCCGGGAAAGGACACCACCAGTCGTGACCTTGATATGAAGAAGGTGTGTAGCCTTGTGGATGGTTCTAGCCGATGGAGAGGACGAGGGAGGTTCTTATCCTTCCTAATCTCACTCTATCTTATTTCTAACCTCGTGGCTGTTGCTGCTGTGGCATGGTTTGGTGTGATGGCATGGGTTGGTGTAGGAGCATGGGCTTATATTATTATTATTATTATTATTTTATGATTTGTCTTTGATGATAGTTTTCAGTGACATAAGAACATGGGCTGGTGTAGGCGCTGTTCTGATGAGGGGACTATGGGCTTGCTTACTGACATACTGCAAGTGGTTCCTTATCTTCCACGTATTAGTTGTCGCTATTATCTTCATCACATAGCTCCTCGTATATATGTACTGGAACATGTGCGTTTCTTTGTTCACTTCATTATCTCAAACACGTTCCTAAGTCTCCTCATTTGTTGGTCTCACCTCCTAATTGAATTTTTTCTTTATATTCATTTGTATTTTATAGTTTCTCTTACATATTTTTCTGAGCTTCGTTCTCTGTATTTAATTCCGTTTTCTCTGGTGGTTGGTATCGACACAGGCCCTATTGATGATGGCGTTACCTCCTCTTGATAATTATGACGGAGGGAAATTCTGAACTTGGTAATGATTTTCATGGAAAGGTCCGTAAAGTCCCTGGAATGCATGACGAGTAACTAGACCAGTGAACGGTTGATTATTATTTTATGAATTAAATAACACATCGCTCGCCACACATAGAAAAGTTGCTTTTATACTTAAGGGGCTGTCACACTGGGCAAATTTTCGCATTCCTCGGTAGATAAAACATATTATTAGGAAAAACATTAAATGATTTTAATGCAAATATATTATCATTAGAATATTTTTTTATACATACAAATGAAAATTACAGATTTGACTTTTGTTACATCCTCTAAGTGCGGCCAGCATGGAATTTCAAGCCTCACGAATTGTTTGGTTAAGTGATTGAAACTTCCTTGGTTGATAAAGTGAGAGAATTTTAAGTACGAGAAATAAGGTTTGGCAGGTTTAAATAGGAATACGGAAGGTGGGACTGTACTGCTCTGTATGGTACGAATAGCCCTTCACTACCGGGATACGTACTGTACCTGTCTCAATAACCATTGCCTCTCCCTTCACCCACTGTACGTGTTACTACCAAAGTCTTGTTCTTAATCTCTGTACTAAATGTTATGTTTGTACTGTAATTTGTCTTCTTGAAATTATCACCAGTCACGCAGCAGAACTACCTACACCTCCTCACCACCTGCACTGTCCTCACCTTCACTCTCACTTTCGTCAAGTTTCCTCATACAACACAGTTCACTTCTCTCTGTAGTTGTATTTACTCTCCATTATAGTCCACATTTTTCAGTATTTTATGTAAACTTTGTACTCCAGAATACATTATTTAGACTTACATATACATACCCATAGGTGGATTTGTATGCATATGCCTGGTTATATCTTGATACATTTATGTGCGATCACGGAAAAAAGTCCTGTCAGACCTCCGCCCGCTCCATGAACCCTGAGACTTATGAAGCAGTGAATCCGATACATCACACGGTACACCATCTATGAGTCCAACAATGTGTGATGTCTCGGATTCACAGGTTCATGGAGCGGGCGGACAGGACTTTTTTTCCGTGACTGTACATAAATTGATAAGCTTGTGACTGTACTTTATATCCAAAGCCAGTACCAGTATTATACAGCTGACCCGAGGGCAGGTCACACTTATGCACGGGGTGATCTGATTATATTATGACTCAACAAATCAGTTTCTTCTACTATTTATTATTGTCTTTTTTTCCTCTCCTTCCTCTTATTTATCTAATCTAATTGACATCCTCTCATACTTATATAGTTTTGAGAATTAATTCGTGGCTTTCGTGTAATATTCCAGCGATTGTCTAATTTACTATAGATAAAAGGTGATATAGAAGTTTACCCTTGAATATGAAAATTTTTCAGAGAAAATGTTAATCTTTTAACACATTTAGAGGATAACTCTCATTCTGAACTGACTCTGTGGTCTGGTAGCTTTACGGGTATAAATGTGTATTGGGTGCAAAGTAACGAGTGAATAGTAATAAACAATTTTTTTTATATTCGCCACTTGTCAGGTTACTAGCCGTTTGGGCGGTCTATCCAGTGTTAATACAAGAGGAAACCTGTTGTGTTTGGTAGGGTCACCCTGGATAACACCCTTCTCACGTGTGTCTGGGCCGAGGCTCGAACCCTTGACATATCCGCGAGAGTTATTAGCGTTACCACCCCACCCGGAAGAGTATTAGTTTCTGTATGTAAATAAGACTGGAACAAGTTTTACTGTAGGATTGGATTCCAGCTAGCCAGGTACCATTTAGAACAGGTTACTGCCTCAGGTATTTTGAAGCCTTGGATGTGATCGTCGAGGGTTTGGGAGCTACCGAGGGCGTGGGAAGTAATATATGGCGTGGTGGACATGACACGGGCGTGGAAATATAGCAGAGAGGGCGTGGATGTATTAGATCTATAGATGATCACAAAACACATTCAAAGAGCACAAAGACACTTATCATACGACCTTATAGTGTAGGTATTTCTCCTTCATTTACACAGTGTCTCCTTCCTCCTTGTGTCTCACCTCCCCCGTTGTTGACGTCACCAGTTGCTCCCATTTTCCCGGCGTGGAGTCATCTTACTACCTGCCATCTACCGGACGAGAGGTCGTTTATTTATTTCCATCTTTCCATCACTCCTTCGCGATGTCCTCACCTTGCCCCCATTTTTCATTATGACGTCACTTGTAATTATTATATATGAAACCTCGTGTGTAGACAAATTAAGAAGGAAAATCGCACACAGAGAACTCATTCAAATATGGAGTTTTATATTGTGACACAGAAGCCAGGAAACTATAATTACTAAGTTTTACATATTATACATGTAGTTACATGTGTATGTATGTATGTGTAAATTTGTAATGGCTGCTGTGTATGTAAGTATTATGAAAATACTTAGTACAATTAACGCTCATCCTCACAACCCTGGCACCAGGTTCTAGTTGTGTACGGTGAATATTACTCGTTAATGAAGATAGGAGACATTTGACAGGTTGACTTGAGATAAAACTCAACTAATTACGTTCATTATCATCACCCAAGAAATTCATTAGGCAGTGTTCTTTTTCAAAATTCTGTGCTAAGTGATGGTGTATAATTAGGGTAGAGCGTCAGTATAACAGTTATGCTATTTTTACGATGTTTTTGTGCCAAGGCTTAAAGCAACCGGTCGTGTGTATTCTTGCGTCACCATCATTTACGAGGAATGTTCTTCGTTCGACCTTCTGGGAGTCTGGACACTGGCGATATTCTCAGGGATTCGTTTTTACTTTCAACTTTTTTTTAGAAAGAAGACAACGTGAACGTTTACGGTAGAGTCTGATATAAATGTTGATGCTCTTTTGACTCAGTTTTGTGACGTAACTTAATTGTTTAATATTTTCTTACAGTCTCAATTAAAGGGAAATATTTACATAGGGATCCATGATAATCTTAGATACTTGTATGTTTATATGATCTTACCTCACTCAGCGTACAGGAGGTGATTGGTCTTTTGTTAACGTTAGTTTATTCTCATGGTGGTAAAATGTTAACTTTAACTGATGGCAGATGAGGTTAATAAGTCATAAGATTGTAAACCGGATTTATTATTTGTGTTCACCTATCCTGTGTGTCCAGTTTGTATTGTGGTGTTTGTGTACTTTTATTTGTTTTGTTTTTATTTGTTTGATAGTAAAACTTGTGTTAGTGTGTCACTCTTGTTTTTATTAATAATTAAAAAGTTTCATAAATGACGAAGCAGAAGTTGAAAAGTTTTGACTGTTCTAATAAGTTTATGTGACTGACGGGGTTCTTCCCTTTTGTGTGCCACCTGTGCGGCTGTGCCATCCCGTGGTCACAACTGACCATGTATCACCCTCCGGCTTCCTTCCCGCCAAGGTAAACAAACCTTAGCCCAGCTACCTGGCCACGCCGTCTGCTGGTCAAGTCCAAACAAATTTCAAGCAAACGATGTTCTCAGATGAAGATGTTCCTTTGGGAAAAAAATATAATTAGATTTGAATACAGTTTATTTATTGTCATTATTAATGTAAAGTCCTGTGTAAAGTTTATACAAGTTTGTCGAAATTTGTAGGGCCATCACCCCCAGACGGCTGCTTCCTCCGTCAGCTGAGGGGGCAAATACAACCACGTCGAGATCCAACCTAAAAGTTGTGTCTCGCTTTGATTGATTTTCAGTTTTAGAATTCTCTCTCCTCTGGCCAGCACGTGCCCTTCCAGTTCCGACTTTCTAAAAGCCTGTAATAGAGTGGATAATGTAGTACTGCTGCCAGGGAGCAGTTCACACACACACACACACACACCGCTGTTTCATATTATCATATGAGATTACAATAGATTTAAACATGAAACTGGAAGAATTGAAGCATTGCCTTTGAACCCAGATGCTAAATGAGTCATGATCTATTTTCCCCAGACTTGGGATAAGAAAACTCGCCTGTGTTTACCTTTTTGTGTCAGGTTTAGACTGGATCAGTTAGGAACACTTGCATCTTCACTTAGGGGAAATTTTTACACACCAACCTGTAACAATCTGTGCCACATTTGTCTGACTAAAACAGTCTTGTGGTCGAATACATTATGGCAGAGGCTTACCCACTCTTGCTGGAGTACACCGTGTGTCACACCCTGTGCGTCACCCCGGCAATATCAGTGGACACTGACACATTGCTGCTCAGACCAGCGCATGATCCCTCCTTAAGCTTACTACTTATCTTGGCTGCCACTAAATTGATATAAACTGCTACAAGACGCAGTTCTTCTTTTATATTGTCATTTGACCTTTATCTTATTGTCTTGCAGATATACTTCTCGTTTACTTTAATCATCTTCCTTGACTGATACTGTAGATCAGTTGTAAACTCTATGTAGAAAATATTAATTTACATACAACACCTAGTAATAGTAGTTGAAGTATTTAGTTGTAGATTTATAAAGAGGTACCTCAGGCTGGGAGCACGTACAGTAGGTCCCCGCCATAAAAGAGTGTCAACGCAAGCAGAAGGAGAGCGAACTCCCCTGAGTATGTCAATGCAAAGTGGATGGGAACGCCAGGCGCCGCTGACTGCTCGTGGTGGCATTGTTTTTATGGTGGAAACCATGGACACACCTGTAAATACACAACTTAGTAGTGAATAAGACTACACCCAGCCTTAAGGTGTAGACGTAGTATGTATGTGTGTTAGTCTTGTAAGATGAATGTTAATGAAAAACATATTTTTTTCAACACCAGTGTTTTCAGTGGATAAATTGATGAATAATGTATAAATATATATGACTGTATATAGTACATATTAGTGTGTAGAACCAATTAGACGTGTGTGTGTGTGTGAGAACCCTTAAGCATGTTATACATCTTGGTCTGGATGTGAACAGGTGACTGAGGCTGCCTCCACCTGAGCCTATCATGGTGAGTATGTGTGTCTGGGTGTGAAACGCATCTTAGCGTTTGTGAACATGTGTATGTACATAATTATATAACCGGGTATCTAGTAGGTGTACTTGGGGTGAGGTCGGGTGTCTTGGGCCGCCTCTACCTGTAAGTTTGTCTCCAGCAGGCGACGGAGTATGTGTTCACGGATATGCAGAGTCCTGAGCGTCATGATCACGCCCAGTCCTGTTACTCCACCACACACAAGAGAGCCAACGCCCTCCTGCAGTGGTTCGACACGGTGAGTACACCTGTCTGTCTGTCTGTACAACAATGCCATCTTCATGAATATTTCGCTCATCTTCTTCGGAATGATTTAAAATCAGACACAACGGATTAAGTTACGTGATAATCAAGGGCTTAAGTCATTGTACTGAAGTAATTAAGGTAACTTACTCAACTGGCCCATTCACTGTACTCTACTGTACTCTACTCTACTCTACTCTACTCTACTCTACTCTACTCTACTCTACTCATACCTAAAAAACTTAACCATTAAAAGTTAAAAAAAAAATTGGCCAAAACTAAAAGTAACATAAAAAGATTCACCTTCAACTTTAACTACACAATTTTGAACCTTTAGGAGTTTGTTGCCTGTCATCTACTTAATAGTTACTAAAACTGAAATGTATTCCATCTTGATTAGGTTAGGTTAGGAGTTTAAGACTAGTTTATTAGTTCAACATGCTTTCAAAACAACATCTTAGTGACCATGATTGTGAGATCTTTATAACATTGACCATTTTGCTTAAATATTCATCAACATTTAAGCACTTTAAAGTTAGTAAGTCATGATCACAAACATCAGTCATCAAGGTCCTGTACTATAACACACTGCTACACCGGTAATTTCACAACACAGGTCCGTAGGTAAAGAAAGGAAAATAGTGTGTGTTAAGAGAGATGGTAAATAAAGTGTTAGTTCCCTCCGGCAGGTGATCAACACGACCATCATGAAGGACCTGAACGACATTAACGCCAAGGTGAAGGGTAAGACGCTGGAGCTGAGGCGGGAGAGAGTCCGTCTCATCCAGGAGAAGGTGGGTGTTGTACCTCACATTATACACTGTAGTTAATTGTGCAGTAGATAAGCACAGTGTTTGACGTCCTTACTGTCATCACAAAGGTTTGGGTTCTGTATCACAAAACTTTGTGTAAGATGTATATATTTGAAGAATGTTTAGTGTCACTGTCGCAGCAATGCTGATCATATAGTGCTCCAGCTGTTGCCTAACTGAGCTCGTAAGATGTCCTCTCACTTCTACAGATAATTTCAAACAGTGAATAACATTTCGAAACAAATTAGCATCAATGACCCCAAACACATTTGATCACAGTACAGCATTTTTCGGCCTGAATGGACAGTTTTTCAGTTGGTGGTGACGTTCGAAGGCTAATAAATGGCATTTTACACTTTGAAATTACAGTTATAAAACATGAACTGAGAAATATAGCAACAAATAACGTAGTAAATATACTGTAAGTTCGATCAATCACTCGAATGCTCAGACTCTTAAGTATATGTCACCAACGTCATTTGTTGCTACACGAGTATTTATCAGTTCATATTTTAATAGTTCTAAATTCACATTGTAAAATGCCATTTATTAGCCTTCGAACGTCACCACCAACTGAAAAACTGTCCATTCAGGCCGAAAAATGCTGTATATCAGTGTGTCTTAATATAGATGAGCCAGTTGGATATCTCACCTGCCCTGTTAGAGTGGAATTTAACGTACTGAACCTTTGAGAATTTTAGCCCAGGGCTGCTATGTATGCATGAAAGTAATTCCTGAAGAGCCGTCGTCATTACGGTGAAGGAGACGGGGATGTTGGTCTGCATGACAACCTGTTCACTGATGCTGTCGTCACGTACAAGACAAATTACAGAAACGGGTGGAAGGAAAGAAACCTGGGGAGGAAGGAGAGGCAGAACGAGAGGTAGAAAGAAAAGTGAGGAGGGTAGGGGGGAAAAGTGGCGAAAGGAGAGATGGGGAAGAAAGAGACGGGGTGGGTGGTGGAGAAATATAGAAAGAATGGTGAAGAAAAGTTGAGATAGGGCAAAGGAAAGCGAATAATAAGAAAATGAGACATAAGTCGAGATGAATGGGAGAGAGAAACAGAAGGGGGATGAAGAGGGTAAAGAGAGATGGAAGGGAAGGTGTGATAGAAAAATGAGAAGGGAGGAGGGTAATGACAAATAGGAGAAGGGAGAGAAGAAAGAAAGGTTGAGAGGAGAAAAAAATAAATGAGGTGAAAAAGAAAAAATAATAGAATTTAAAGATGGAAAAGAAAAAGAGAACAAAACATAAACGGAACGAAGATAGAGAGAGGGAAGGGGAGATAAACGGAAGATGTGGTAAACGAGCCACAAAAGAGAAGAATGGAGAGCGAGTGAAAAAAATTATACAGATTGAAGAAAATACAGAATAAAAGATAAGGGAAGAAACCAGAGACAAGGAGCAATAAAGCAATAAATGTGATGAGTAAAATAGTAAATTGTATAAAGTAGCAAAGAAATCGGAATACCTTGTAGACACGCAGATGAAAGGTGTAAATAAAAGCTCCAGATACGACCCTAATCATCATAAAAGAACAAACTCCATCATTTATCAATACGCCAACTCATACACATACAAAAACCTGAATATTAGATGACCTACACCGAAGCATAGGAATAATGTATAGTGAAATTTGAGGGAATTGATTAAGGGAAAATTTTAAAGGTATTTTTTTTTTTGGGGGGGGGGGTGTGGGGTTAAGTGGTGAAAATATATACATGGTCTCCTCCAATGTAGTCTAGTAAACAAGCATCATCGTGTTATTGTGTGTTAGTTCTGCTCAGTATGTAATAAGATGGGGGTCTGGTGTTCACTTATTTGGTTCTTTCTCTTACAACATAAAATTCGCAACAGTAGAATCTCTCGCTTCAATAACAGGTCCCCCATCTATGACAGGTTCATATTTTCTACATGTCCCCATCTATGATATGTCCTCATCTAGTAGCAAGACCTTATCTCTATTATCGGTCTTTGTCTTATCACCACTACAGTTTATAGTTAATCTTCTGGTTTTTCTTGACTTAGCATTCTCATTATCCAAACTTTCGCTCCTCACTTCAATTCATCACTTGTATTCTTATTCCCCGGAAGAAGAGGTAATTAGACAGCACAATGCCTCCAATAACAGCGTCCCATCTCTCCCTCCCTCACATACCAGCACACCTTTCCTCCCTCTCTCACATACCAACACACCCTTCCTCTCCCTGTCCCGTCTCTTCCGCCCTTACTTTCTGATTTTCTAGCCTTTTTCTCCCTTACCTTCTCACCTCTCACCTTTGTCGTACCTTCTAACTCCTCAACTTTACCTTACCCTGGCATCTCCTCCCGTCACCTCCTCATTTCCTCACCTCTCTCTCCTCTCTCACCCAACTCCTCACTCCTCCCGTCACCTCCTCATTTCCTCACCCCTCTCTCCTCTCTCACCCAACTCCTCACTCCTCCCGTCACCCCCTCATTTCCTCACCCCTCTCTCCTCTCTCACCCAACTCCTCACTCCTCCCGTCACCTCCTCATTTCCTCACCCCTCTCTCCTCTCTCACCCAACTCCTCACTCCTCCCGTCACCTCCTCATTTCCTCACCCCTCTCTCTTCTCTCACCCAACTCCTCCCTCACCGGTTTCCTACGCTGCTGCAGGTGCGGGAGTTATGGGGGACGGACATAGAGCTGGACTCAACACTACGGATGCAGGACGTAGATGTGGAGCAGATGGCCCGAGGCATGTTGACTGACGGCCAGGTGGTGAAGCTCGACGGTGGTGACGTGAGTATCTACCCCACTACCATAGTATACTGAGACAGGAAAAAGGTTCAGGGTGAGGATTCTACACAGACACTTGATTTTAATCCATTTTGTAGAATGATAGAAAATGGTGACTTTAGCCAATGTGCATCAAATAATAAGGTTCTGGGGTGAAATGAATTAGGTGGGATGATAAACACGGGTGATAATAATCAGACGTGTGACGAGTGTAAAGATGCGACAAGAAACGTTCACTATCCATGCTAGTTAAAGATACAACAGGTAATTAAATCTTAACTAATGCAATTTTAATTTCACACACAAGTATATAAAGTAATTAGTCTAAGCTTTAAATGTTATATCACGTAGGCACTCGGTAGTAAGTGTTATTGACATTCTTACAGCTGGAGAGTCAGAGGGCTGGTACTCCTCCTTTGTTGAGTGAGGATGAGTTGGCACCTATGCCCTCAAACAACGTCATCTTCGGCAACATGTACGACCACTACCAGAGTAAGTAACACGCTTTCCCATTCTCTGTTCATGTATTCAATTTTCTCTGATTTGTTACCCGTTTTCTCTTGTGCAACTCGTTTTCTATATATATCACTCACTTTGTGTTGTTACTACAGGCTCACTGTGATGCTGACACACTTGGTATTATGAATATGTTCTCCACTACATTGCTATTTTCTGTGTTATGTCTAGTTCTTCTTGGCTCACTTATAATTTTCCACATTATCCACCATTGTATATTTTGTTTTCCAACTTCCATTTTTTGCATTAAGCAGATAAGTTTGTGTTATTATTTTTATTCTCTTCACCACTGATCGGTTTGTTAGCTGGTGAAAGGGGTGGTATCTCTCAACTCAAGCTGCCCCCCTTGTCTTACTTATGCTTCTCTTGTCTTAGTTCCTTCAATGGTTCTTTCTACTTATTTCAGTTCATGGTTACTACATAACCTCAGTTCTTTGGTAGCATGGCGAGGGTCTAGGGAACATGGGTATTGTAATTCTGATATCAAGTCACTTGGACGGAAATAAAGGTGAAATACTGCAGGAAAATTAATACCCCTAATCTACTCTAAGAAAAGGTTTATTAATATGAAATCAAAGTAGGGACAAAGATATCATTAACATACAACTCCAAGGTGCAACTCCTCGCCTTAACCCAACTGCAGATTACTCAGATACTGTACTCTTACTACACACAACCTTACTGGTGTTACATTACGTTACAGTTACCAGGACCAATTCCTTGGCTTTACTCACATTACTTATACAGTAGACACATGACAACTCCTTGGCTTTACTCACATGCCATTCCCAGTGGGTACTCTACCTTCTCCCACATTACTGGTGATACATTTCATTACAGTTACCAGGATCAATTCCTTGGCTTTACTCACATGCCATTCCCAGTGGGTACTCTACCTTCTCCCACATTACTGGTGATACATTTCATTACAGTTACCAGGATCAACTCCCTGGCTTTACTCACATTACAACTCCAATCAGATCCTTTACTTCTCACACCTTCTGGTGCTACATGGCATAACATCCAGTTATAAGACAAACTTACATATGATACCTTCACAGACTGTTGTTAGTACATATGAGATGCACTCACAACACAACACGTTAATACTGAAACCAACAACTTATTCATGGGTTCACTACCCAACATGGGATAATTATTTCCAGTTAATTATCCCCAAACATATACAACAGACACTGTGGACCATAACTGCCAGGAGTGCTCCAGGGTAGAACACTCAACAACTGACGACCGTTGTTGTGATTGGTGGAAGCCAGACACATGGCGAGTCTGGGGTTTAAGGCCCACGAGGCGGACTTGGAGCAAGTTAATCATGTCGAATCAACGACATCGTCCATATATCGCTCACTGCTAGGTAGCCACCGACTCCGGGCAGCTGGTGGGTGTTCAAATAAGCCCACCCTGGATCTGGGGAACAACGGGAGAGGGCGTCACGGGAGGCCGAGCTGATGATGATGATGATGATGATGATAATAATAATGAAGTAAAGTGACAAATGACTTTGCACTGGGAAAGGAGAGGAGAGAGAGAAGTAAAGCATAGAAACGGTAAGAAAAGTGGGAGGGGTAGATAGCAGGTGGGCTGTCCACCTAGCGGAGACGAGTTGAAATGTTGGGGTGGTGGCCGCAGGCAGCACACGCCCGCCCGCTCAAGGGAGGGAGGTGGAGGGGAGGGAAGCTAAGCTAGCTAGGTATTCATTATTGTAATGGGTGTTAATTTATGTTTGTTCGATGGTGGTGTTATTTGTTCACATATATGTGTAAAGTGGGTCTTGTTCTGCTATGTCAGCATGGAGGCTCTTGGGCCACCAGCTGTGTGTTTTAGTAGTTCCTTCTTCTTTTAACTGGGAGAATTATGGGTCTTCCATCTCTTCAAGTTTGCTCCATATTCTCTGTGCTTGGCTGTGTGTACGTATGTTTAGTGGCTCGATATTGTATAATTCGTGAAGTTCTTGTATTTTGGTGGTGTATGGCGGGAGTTGCTTTGATGCTCTACGGATAGCTTTGTTTTGTACTGATGATTGAAGTTTAAGTTGGCTGGATTTGCTGATCGTGTTGGTGGTATTGGTGGATATACTCTAGGTGTTAAGGCGGACAAAGGGTGCTTTGTAGAGATGTATTGAATTTTGGTGTCCATTTTGCTGGATCTTCGTAGTTTCGTGAGTTGTGATTGGGCAGTCTGTTTGCGTTGTTTACGTGTTTTTTTACTATGCCTGTTCTTGTATTGAGTCCCAATTTTTGCCTTCGTTGGAGTATTGTATAGGTACGTTGTTGACTGTGATTTTGGGGTTTATTTTGGCAGTAATGTATTATCATTGGTTTCTGTGAATTGGTTTGAATTTTTCACTTTTTCATATTCGTTGATTTGCTCGATGGCGTGAGCTGTTTTACGCGCCATCATCTGTTTACCCACTTACCTGGATGTCGGATGATTTGGGCGTCATCAACGCAAGCTACGTATTCTCCGTATAGGAGTGGCATGTCCGCCGTATATATTGTGTGTAGAGTGTGGGCGAGATTACTTCCCTGTGGTACT